TCGACTATCGTTGGCACCGTCGTGAACATCACCGTCCGTCACCTCTCCCGCCCACAGTCCATATTGTTCAAGCACAACGCCAAACAACAACTCCTTTTCCCACCGGTGTATGATCACAAATTGATCAAAAATGCATGTTCGAGACGCAACCGGCCGCCAGGTCTCCCTTCTCAACGATGAGCCGTCAAGTGCCCCTCAGCGCCTAAGCTATCGCACTGCGAATCACATCATCTCACAGCCTTTCCACCCTGCGCCGCGCAGCAACTCTTCGTCGCCCCATACCCCAGAGCTTCTCCGGTCAGATTCCTACGACTCGAACGCCAGTAGCGACCCCATGTCCCCTCTGACGCCGACCTCTTACGACCTTGCGCGAGCCAGTGCCTTCGCTTCCGGCCAGACAATGTACGACGAGTTCGAAAAGCGTCCTGCTTACGCCAACAACAGCCGCGCAAACTCATACGAGGACGAAAGCTCAGCGACGTCGCCGATGCCTGAACGTCCGGGCAAGAGGTACCCGTGTCGCTATCGCGATTCTCACGGCTGTGAGAAGACATTTACCACCTCCGGACACGCGTCAAGGCATTCCAAGATCCATACCGCCGAGAAGGCGGTTCAATGCACTTTTCACGGCTGTTCAAAGAAATTCACTAGGGCGGACAACATGAAGCAACACTTGGAGACTCATTATAAGGACAAGTCGCGTACTTCGGCCTCGGCGGCCAAGACTGCTGCGCGCTCATCACTCGGTGCCCTTTCGGCTTCCGGTCGTCGTTCTTCGTCCTCGTCTTCCAGAAATGTCGGCAGTCGTTCCTCCCGCGATCAACCCATGTGGGACACTGAGTCATATGGATATCCTCCTGGCCAAGCTCCTTTGCCTTCCCCTGGTGCTAATGGCGCCTGGGATATGCGCGGCCTGAACCTGCCTCTTCTCAGCCGCCCTACTGCAACTAGAACCCCCAGCAGTGGGCTGGATGCCCTCGCCATGGCGGTAGCTTGCCAGGAGGGCGCTTAGCTGGTTGCTGCCTTGCATTTTTTTTGGGAGTGATCACACTTGGCGTTGGCCAGTTTCGACTATTTAATACCCCACGAACCTTTGACTCAGGCCCTGTCACTCTTGTTCAACACGATTCACGAAGCAAAGGTTGCGCCTAGGGAAGGCATACAAGACGGACTTTCTTTCAACTCAGGGACTACACCTCGTTTTCCGTACATTTCTCTTATTTCATTATATCGACTGTTCATGGGATATCGGATAGAGGTCGCGAAGCATACGAATGGCGCACCTGCACATACACGCGGTGGGAACGGCAACAAAAACGATGGCGTTTGGTGGGAATTGTTTCATGAGATGGTAAGGTCTTGGGTGGACTTTGTTCTTGGTTGGCGTTCTTGTGGCTTCGCGCACATACCCAGATCCTCGATTTATGAGCAGCTGAAGGCAGACGCATTTGCGATTCTTCGCTTTGGCGGAGAGAAGGACCCCCAAGGGGGTTGGGATACACGTGTACGAAGGAAATTTCTGGTGGGGCATGAGCTTCCATGAGAGTAAGGGTTTAGGGTGGTAGAGGCAGGTGCACACTTGCTTAGGAGCAATGTGTTGAAGCCGAGTCTCCTTCATTGCGAAAAGATCCCTGGAGGATGGAATTTGGAGATCTGTTGCGCTTTCATCGACGACATGTCGAGGGCACCAGCCACAATGTCCATCCACGGGCCAGTTCGCCATCTAGGCCTGGTTGAACGGGGTTTACAAGCGGATACGAAAAAGTAAAAAGTTTTTATGAAGCGTGCCCACTGTCTTTTGTGATCATACTCTGCGGTTTCTCACCCATGGGGGCTATCTCTGAAGAAAGATGCGCTACAAATTATCAGCATATTGCCTGCCTCTACCCATGTTGCGCGTCGGCGAAAGCGACATTGCCTTTAGCCGTATCACCGGTTGGGTTGGCGTCATAAGCATCGACATGATGTTCATGTTGCATCGTAACGCAATCCGGCCCCCCCTTCCCCCGCGGAAGACATTCGCCCGGAGTGCCCACATGGACGAACATGATGAACTGGCGGACGCACCAACTGAACAAACTTGAGGTAGTTCCACAGACAGCGGGCAGTCTGCGTCGGTACTTCTTCTACCTTTGAACGCATCGAGATGCACACTCGGGCCGAGGAACGGGGGGGAGCAGGAAAAAAAAGAAAAAGAAAAGCGGTGGGGGAGGGGAGGAACCGTTGGTTGAGGATTGGAACGTAGGTACCGGCGGAGTTGGATGTCTCACACTGGCACTAACTCTGTTCGCCATGTGCTGGAATGACTGACTGGCGTTGCTCAGGAACACATGGGAAACCAACCCATGGGCATCGACTGGAATGTCATCGATCGCCTGTCGTTGGTAGGCCGCTCAGTCCGTCTCCCACTCGTTTCTCATGTTGCGAGCGGTCATCACGGGCCAGGCAGGCACCCAGATGAGAGTTGAAGATCGGTGATCTCGCGAGGATGGTGGTGGGGCGGGAAGTGAGCACGGCGTGGAAAATTGTGGAAGTGGCTCAGGTTGCATGTTTCTTCTTCTTTTCTTTCTCACGCTTTCGTCTCTCTCGTACGTCTACCCCGTCAAACAAATCCCACCCCATAACCCGGCTGGGAGACAATTTGACTCAGATTAGCTGGTGCGAGCTAAGCCATCACAAGATTTCTTCGTGTTTTCCACGACAGCTACTCCTCGGCCCCCTGCCCTCTACTGCACTCGCGTTTGCTAGCTGGCTGTCGACTTAGGGCGGGAATAGAATCGACATCTTGTGCGAACGCCAAAATTGTTCGTCAAGACCAAAGCTCACTCTTCTCGGTGCACAACCTCGCCATCTCCAATTGCTCGTCTGTCTTGCAAACCAAGGTACGTGACCTACCGTCCGGCTTTCCGACTTCTTGCACAGTGGATTCAATCTTCTTGCCGTTCAACTCGTCGTCAATCGTGAAGCCCAAGCAGGCACACTGGTCAACGACCTGTCTCCTCAACTTATCGCTCTTCTCACCGATGCCGCCAGCAAAGACGAGAGCGTCGACCTGACCGCCAAGAGTGACGAAGTATGAGCCGATGAAGCCACACACCCTATCAATAAAGATGTCGAAGGCGAGCTTGTGGGTAGGCTCGTCGGAGGTTGCTATGGTACCGAAATTGGTTGTTCCTGTGAGCGACTTCCACCCGGCTTGCTTGTTGAGGATCTCCTCGGCCTCTGTAAGATGTAGTTCCGATGTTGAGTTGGGAGATAACTTTCCAACATCGCTCGCATAGTGGAAGACCAGACTAAGTGCGTCTAAGTCAGACACTAGTTCACGGGCCGGGGCATTTGAGGAAGATAGGCACTGACCTGGGGTCTACGTTACCGCTTCTTGTCGCCCCCGGTAAGCCGGCAACAGGGGTGAGGCCCATGCTGGTATCCCAGCTTTGGCCATTGCGAATGGCGCAGGCGCTTGCTCCGCTTCCCAGGTGCAAAGCAATGATGTTGATATCTCTGGGATCTTTGCCGAGAAATTCAGACACGGATCGCGTGATGAAGGAGTAGCTAATGCCGTGGAAGCCGTATTTTCTCAGATGGTTCTTCTTGGCGATTTCTTGGTTGATGGGATAGGTCCGAACGTGTTCCGGAATCGACGAGTGGAATTGGGTATCGAAGCAGGCGACGTTGACAGCATCAGGCAGCTGCTCCACGCAGGAATTGACAATCTTGAGAGCTGGGCCATTGTGAAGGGGGGCAAGGTCGCTGAGCTCCTCCAAATGGTGGTACGTGTCCGAGGTTATTACCTGCGAGCAAGGATAATCGCCGCCATGTACGATGCGATGGCAAGTCAGAGCAATGTCGTCTTTTCCCTTGATTTGAGACAGCTCCGGGTCGTCTATGAGCGTCTTCAGAAGGACTTTGAAGGCGTCGTCCTGGGTGGCAACCTTGTCCTGGAGCTTTTCGTCTTTCTTGACCTCGACATCGGCACGCGTATAGGAAATCTGAGCGGGTGGAGCCGTGAGGCCGCTGACTGATGTCTCTGCGAGCTGGCGGGGTGGCTGTCTAGGCTCAGCCGCGTAGACGGAGATCTTAACGGAGCTAGATCCCGCGTTGATGGCCAGGATAATCTTCATAACGGAAAACGACGACAATGTATGGCGGCTTGGAGTTGGGGGCAACTTGTTCGAAGGAAGGATTTGTCTTGGTTCCCGGTAGCCAAGCTGCTTGCCAATTTGGTTTTATATTTGGGACTGCGGCGACGTCCTTGTCTCCGGCGTAGGATTTCCACTTTTGGACCGACGCTGTTGACGAGCGAACGATTGAGGCAAGGAAGCAGTCGTTGACTGAGGTAACCTTGCGACGAGGTCGATCAGTCGATGTTTGGCGGTGGGATGGTTTGGAAGTTGGACGAGGGGTGGTGCAGAGAGCAGAAAGTGCGGCTGGGCAGATAGCTAGGTACTTTGGGTCGGCACCATCCGTTGAGTCGACCAGACCAATGCTACCTGATTTTCCACGGCCATACATGAGGTGGGTTGAGAAGTGAGGTGCAGTCACCAGTCAGGCAAGGCACCAGACGGGACCTTGGTACTGGGTATGGTGACGTTGATACGGGCCGCTGACAGCACCCCCACTCTCGGCTGAAATTACCTAGCGTCCAATGGAAGTGAGGAGGACACTGATGGAGCCGCCGGAACCCCGCGCCGTCCCTCGCCCTATTCCCTGTCCAATACTCTCAGGTGCTGGCGGGTGGGCTTCAAGGTTTCCTGGTGGGTCTGTCAAAGCTGTCAACCTGAAAGCCTGCCCATGCTCTGACCTTATCTGGCCACGAGGGACCCAGCAGGCAGCTCTCGCCAGCCATGCATTCCATGCACATACCACTCCACGCATACACACACGGTTATTTCGTGGCACCACTACCCACAGCCACCCTCCAAGCCCTTCTGGGTATCGTGATGTTGGCAATCTACCCAGTCAAGACCTCTTGGTTTTACAGAGACTGTGCGTTGCACCGTTCAAGGAGTCGAGTCCGACTCGTAAGAGTCTGGTGGCTCGACAACCGGCTGAAGCCCACTACCTATGTCAGGTGATGGCAGTTCCGACATCTCTCCTGGTAGGATTTGGGGAGACGGCAGCTCAACGTGGTGCGGTGGAAAGGGTATGCCATGGAATTCGCTGTCGGAGCTGTGCGCCACGACCCATTTCTCGAGAAACCTGCGATAGTCTGTCGCGCGGCCGTCAGCGCTCCAGCCTGCTTCAACAGCCCATTCTCTCATCGTTTTTCTTCTTTTGTAGGCAGCACGGTGGAGTGAGACATACCTTCACGTTTGCTGAACTGAATACCCAAGTAGCGCATGTCTAGGGTGCCTGGCGATGAGCTTGCTTCCGAGTTGGAGCCTCCGCCCTGCGAACCCGAACGGACACGGGGCCGCATGCGATGTGAGAAGGCGAACCGGGAACGTGACGAGCCACTATCCGGCGCACTGCTGCGCCGGCTACCGCGGACCGTCAGACGAACCTGGCGATGCCGATCGTCGCGATTGCGCAGTTCGCCTTCAAAATTGTGCATCTCGTATTCCCGATGCTGACGGCCTCCGGCGCGGTTGGCGAACACGGTCAGTGAGTGATAGGTAGAGTAGCGGTCTCTCCACAGCTTTAGTCTCTGCACCAACCCCATGCCCCTTATATTGCCAAAGCCGTCTGTTCGTCCATGCACGTCGGACCATACCACATCAATGTCGTAGTAGTCGACTAGGTCTTTTCGGCGGACATCTCCTTGGAATCGCAGAGAGCTCTCGACGGTAGTAAACTCGTACTTGACTTCCATTAAATGGTCGTGCATGACCATGCCCTCGCCTGTCGTATACCTTACGCGGTGTGGCTCACGGAAGCTGACGTACAGCTCAAGTTCGCATGGGTCTGTGTACGGCCGATGGCGGGAGTGAAGGGTATGTGGAAAGACATCGGCGGGAATATCAGACGGAACTAGAAGACGGTCAGACTCTGAGTGTAAGCACGACAGAGAGGATAGGCGGAGATGAAGTACGGAAGTGTTCAAGAAGCTCGCTCTGGTAGCTGCACTGCCACAGAACGCGGCGCTGCTCGGAGCCAACCACCTCCCAAGGGCCTAAGTAGACAGTGCGCTCGTTGGGAGTATTTTCAAAGAGGGTTCTAGTAGTTCGTGCGATGTCAGAGAGGGGAGTGAAAGGGAACCGAGCCTGTGGAGACTGTAGCGAGAAGGAGGGAGCAAAAGGGCACAGGGAGCGAGATCGTACATGGTCGCTTGATAGCCCGGGGGACCAAGATCTAGCGGACGGAGGGAGGCGTGAGGGGCCGAGGCTTCGGAGGTGAGAGCTGAGATGGTTGAAGCGCCGGACGTCGGGGTCCAAGTTGAGTCAAGCGGACTTGCGTATGGTTGGGCGTAGGAGGGCGGGCGGCCAAGAGAGGAAGAAGTAAAAGAAGAGCCGGAGGACGAGGCGGCCATGCTTGAGAGGGTTTGGCCTATAGACTCAGAGGTCCAGTGCTGGTCAACAAATCAAGACGGTCTGCAAAGGGCAGGGAGCGCAGTCATGACATGGTGTTGACGATCTCAATTCGATTTCCTTTTATTGCTGCGATGGTCCTCGTCGTCGTCTTGGTCGCTTCGTCTATGTTGTCGCAGTCGTCAGGGCCCAGGTCGAGCTGGCGGTGTCTTTGGAGTGCGGAGAGTTGGGGAGAGAGACATTCAAACGGCGTCGCGTCGGATAAGGGTGCGTCGGAAATCAGAATGTCATTGAGCCTGGTGCGCGATACAGATTGCTGGGACGTTCGAGTTGCAGATGCAGCGGGCTTCGCTACTCGTCAGCATTCCGGCGTGGCATGGCAAAGGAGTTTGACATGGGGAGCGTCCTCGAGCTGAAGATGAGGAGGAGGGATGGTCGGCGACAAGTCGGCGGACGGGGTCTGGCAGGTGGATGTGTCGTGGGTTCTTGGCCCCGGTACCGAGAAAGCCAACGGAGCGGGGTCGCAAGGTCGGGAGAGCCCTTTCAGCGGGACCTAAGGTACCTCAAGGTAGGTAGGAAAGGTAGGTACCTACCTTAGGCAAGGTAGTGTGTGTGCCCGCACTTCACAGCGTAAGGTAGTGTATATTATGCAGTACTCTCTCTCTCTCACAGCTGTCGCCTGATAAGGTACCATCCAATGGCTTCAGCCTCCATGCTTTCTTTACTTTACTACCTACCTAGGTAAGTACCTTAGGTCTAAGGCAAGTCGGCGCAGCGCAGTTGCGCTCACACTCAAGTTCTTGGGTGGGGGAGAGAGGCCCGCGTGGGGAGCTCATCCCATCCAGCGTCGTCTAGTGTCCTATTATGGCACGTCCACCCGAGAAAGGAAGCCCAACCGCGTCGTCGGGACGGCCAATGATAAGGCTCATAGGGGAGGCATGCGCCAGCGACTGGTGCTGCGTTTCTCTCGCAGCTCCTGGCCAGTTCGCTGGACCCTGCCGCCATCCATGCACTCTTTTCCTCGACCATTGCTCACGCTGCAGAACTGTGCATTACGACTGGTGCGCGCGAGCCAGGTCGCCATCTGCAATTGCATCTTAGCATGAGGTGCCCAAACAAAAACCCCTGGAGGCTGAGGCTGCCCACGCCTCCGGATCCTCCGTAAGGTCAGGTCGGGTAGTGTAAGTACCCGCGCTACCTGGGTGTAGATGTGCGATGCGATGCGATGCACTCAGTCAATGGAAGGTAAGATAATCATTGTAAGCCTTTTTCATTTGGTTTTTACTTTACTATCCGTCTGCAGGTTTCTCAAAATCCCCATTGTCATTCCGTCTGCATTGTTTTCATCGCCCTCTCACCGCAGCTCCAACCTTCCAGCCCTTCTGCCCACGTACCATGCCTACCCACCTACCTTCCCTTAAGGTAGGTACTAGGTAGTGGAGGTACGAATACAGTCTCCGTACGTTAGGTAACTATAAACCTCCCGTCAACCTCGAGCGAAACGGGTCTGCCCCGGTAAGGTAGAGCGACCCGTTTGCCCATCTCGCCTGACTTCCCCGACCTCTCTCCCCTTCTCTACGTCGTTCCGCACTGCCACCAAACACCTGCCCTTATTACTTTGTTCCTCTCTGTATTGGTCGCCTTTCGCGCAGCGCATTCAATGTCCATAGGCCCCGCCGATCCTGCGTCTCTCCCCTGTTGCCGATCTGTACGCATCGTTAACTTACCCATTTCCGCGAAGCAACATTTCATCCCTCTCCAAGCATCAAAGTGACCCGACGTAGCCTGTTACTGAGCCATGTCGGCTCTGCCCGATCCTCTGGCGAGGAGGAATCGCGGCTTTTTGGGCAGTGATAGCTCCGCCTTGCCCCCCCGCGATGATCAGGTACGCCGTCCGTTCACCTCCGCTTCCCCCTCGGTACTCGGAACGGACCTGGACCGCTACTAACTCGTCCCCCAGGATCGACGCCAGCTGCGATATGAACTTGACCTCAACTCATGGAATCTCCGCATCTGGGGCGTGGCAGCTTCTGGCTTTCTGACAGACTCGTATGTCACTTCACTGATGTCGCAGACAACTCTCACTTTGTCCTCATTTTGACTTCCTTTACACTCAGATACAATCTCTTTTCTACCAATGTCATTCTCGCCTCCATTGCCTTCGTATACTGGCCATCACACGGCTCAAGATGGCAAGGCTTGCTCATCAACTTCTTCACTCTCCTGGGCTCTGTCATCGGGCAGCTTCTGTTCGGCTTCTTGGCTGACTTCTATGGCCGGACCCGTCTCTATGGTATCGAGCTCGTTCTCGTTATCGTGTCCACCATCGGAGTGGCAACCAGTAGCTATGGCTTCGACGACATGAGCTTCCTAGGACTTTTTATATGGGTTCGTTTCTCTTCTAGGTTCTTTCCCTCTGTCTCAATAGATTAAACTGACTCGATTGGATCATAAAGTGGCGCTTCGTCATGGGTATAGGTCAGCCTGCCTCCAGCATACTTGCTCCGCTCCCAAGGCCCAGAACTAATGATCAGTTCAGGTATCGGCGCGGAATACCCTCTCAGCGCAGTCATAACCTCAGAGTGGTCGAGCACGCAGTCGCGAGGGACCATGATCTCTTCCGTGAGTTCCGATGAGTTCGATAGTTGCTAAACTTGTACTTACATAGCTCTTTGCAGACCTTCATGATGCAACCTATTGGACAAGCTTTGGCTCAGTTGGTTGGTCTTTGGGTGCTTGTTGGTCGGGAGCAAAGCGCGGGTTTACAAGAAATGCAATGCGGCCTTGACATGAAGTTTGACAGAGAGTGTCGCCGTACGGTTGACGGGATTTGGCGCATCGTCATCGGCTCAGGTGCTGTCCCAGCACTCCTGGCTATCATATTTAGGTTCTTCCTGTTCGACTGTGGATTATACAGTCTCGAGGTCCGTAACAAGCCCGGTATTGCTCTAAGGAATACGCAAAGAGTGTACGGTGCGCCTCCTGGTGCACCGGCTGGGTATCCCATGGCTGCCGCTGATGGAATGCATACCACCAACTCGGCACAGCCTATGCCCATTCAGTTCTCCAAGGAGGATCTTCACAAATACTTCATCGAGGACGGAAATTGGTACTATCTCCTAGGTAGGCAAGCACACCTCCCCCAGGCCGAGGAACTCTTGGTTGCCCGAGTCGATGAGGCCCCCATCACTGACACCGTGCAGGCACCGCTGCAACATGGTTTTTTTTAGGTAAGCGCCAAGACTGTCAAAAGCCGGACCTTGACGCCGTGAGCGAAATGGCTGAAGAAATGAACCCTTCTCACAGATGTTTCCTTTTACGGGCTATCACTCGATAACAGAGGGACCCTGTCAGACATGTGGGCGACGACGGGACCGACCCCTATTGACGAAAGGCTGTCGTGCTGGAATTCAAAATGGGAAGATGGTAATGCCACAGCGAGGATGTGGAGCAAGACAGGCCTGCCGATTTGGCAAACGGATGCAACATTGCCGTGCAACACAATTTATGACGTGCTCCTAGAGCAGGCCAAGCAATATCTGCTTACCGTCTCTCTCGCCTCCATTGCCGGAAGCGCCTGCTTCGTCATATTCGCAAACCGTATCCCCAGACGTCTGTGGCTGACGATATCTTTTTTCGTTCTCGCCATCCTATTCGTCATCACGGGCTGCGTGTACTATGGGGTCAATCGGACTGAAGGTGCGCCAGCTACCATCGTTTTCGTAGCATTGTGTCATTTCATGTTCAACTTTGGTAAGTCACTGGGTCTTGCCGCAGCACCATCCGGTCTCTTTTCGAGAACACGTCGGTTGACACACGTCCAGGGGCAAACACACTTACATTCATCATCCCGGCTGAAATATTTCCGACGTGCTACCGCTGTACGTGCCACGGTATCTCTGCCGCGGCCGGTAAACTTGGCAGCATCGTTGCGTTGCTTGTTGTCTATGGAATCAACTCGTCCTATACTGCCGCGAACCGACAGGGCCTAATTTTTCTCCTTTTCGGCTCGTTTGTGGCCATCGGCGCCGTCTTCTCCTGGGCCTATCTACCCGACTCTCAGCGATGGACGATAGACGAGGACGGGCGACGTGTGCTGGAGCAAAAGACTCTTGAAGAACTGGGTGAGGGGCGGGAGAGGGCAAGGCAACTCGGCGAGGTCATCACTGTCAAAGATAAATGGCATGATTTGAAGCGAAGGAGATCATCGCCTACACCTTCACAGGCTACTGATCCGTAAAGGGCTAGCTGTATCAGCCCAGGATCACATGGCAGGCGTACGATTTCAACTCGTGCAATTTCATCATACACTGCATGTCAGCACCACGATATCAATCTGTAGCAACTCATTATCTTAATGTGGCTTGTGGCATTTGACGTCTATTGAAATCTTTCAACTTTGTCGATTAGGAATCGTCATCCGAGACATGAAGCTTTATCGACGTCAGGTGCCTATATGACCATCCGGATCCAGAGCAATCTCCAATAACTCCACGGTGTCTGCGTAAATATCCTTTCCACTCGTAGTAGCTCTTATATGCGCGTTGTTCTCGAGCGAATCTAGCCACTTGGCCCACCGTAGTCCCGGCGCCGGAGCAGTCCAACCACGGAGCGGCTGCAGGATTCGAGAGAGGCGGAGGGCGAAGGGGGCGAAATGGATATCAACTAGGGAGAGGCTGCTCCCGAGGAAGAAGGGACCCTGTGGAAAATTGCGTATTGGTTAGCAATGCTTGTGGATCGGAACCCGGCTGACGTGAAACATGTACGTGAGATATGCAAAAGGGCACTTATCACCTCTTCATCGGCAGCGAGAACTAGGTCCTTGATGGATTCTTGGAGTCTCTCAATGTATTGTGAATGCTTTGCCACGTCGTGGTTGTGGAGTAAGCGGTAGAAGGCAGGAACGAGGCGAGAGTTGATCTTCAATCATCGTCAGCCTAGATGAACGGAATTAGCGACAGCTTCTACGTACGTGGTCGATCCATAAACGACAATTTGCACGGAGACGCGAATCAGTCGGAAGGAGCGGAATCGCCTTGTCCATTTCCTCAAGCTGAAAGGGTTAGCTCGACGACGTGTTTGTATACGCCAATGAGATCTGGCCCGCAAGAGGGACTCACATATTCCAGTATCACCGCGCTCTCGGCACAGGCCCAATCACCTTGGCGAATTGCAGGCACAGCCCCCCTAGGATTGGCTTCGAGCAGTTCCTGTGATGCGGGTGCTTTGTACGGATCTTCTTCGCAATATTGATATGCCAGTCCTTTGGCCTCGAGAGCGATCCAAACTCGCTGAGAAAACGGGCTACGTGGTTTGGATGCATCAGCAAATGTACGAGTCAAACGGGGAGAGTTTCTTTTGTCAACATACCAGTAGCATGCCGAGTAAAGTTTCAGATCGCTATCCTTTTCATGCTTCTTGGCTGTCCAATGTGCTCTACCCGAGGCCTTCTTAAGACCGTCACTCTGTACATAGATTGTCAGGTAAGTTATTGTCGCATTGACCCACCACGATGGTTGCGGCGAATTTCTCACTTTGAATGCCTCCTGATTTTGTTTAACAAGATGGCGTTGAATGCTGTTCTTCTTGACCTCATCGCTCTTTGCAAGACTATGCTTGTGCGGGCCGGGGATGCCGCTGATGCTGATGTGACCGTTGACTCGCTGAATGGTCCAAAACTTTTGTCCAAGAGCGGGCAGATTGTTCATCGTAGCCGGAAGAATACGCAGCTGTTTCTCTCCGGGGGGGGCAAGAACCGTGTGCGCTCCATTGAGCGTCTGGACACCATCCAGGGGCACATAACTGCCGTCATCCAGATCGTGCAGCGTAGCCCCAGGAAAGTATTCGGTGATTTTGATTTTGACATCGCAGAGGTTCAACTTCCGAGAAACGCGATTTCTCCTCTTCTTGTTCGGGTCATCTGACTTCTTGGTCCCCGGTGGTCGACCCTTGAGCCGACAGTCCCAATAGTGAGATATGAAAGGCTTTTTCTTGTACGTCTGCGTCGACCTGTGGGAGTAGACATTGTCTACGTGAGGGAAATACGCCTCAAACCTGTGGCCAGTATGAGCACTGGGACCCTCTATCATGGAAATCTAATATTTGTTTTCCCTCTTCAGGCGGGGGGAGAGACTTGCTGGTCGTTGCTGAGGATAATGAGCCCGTCAGCGTCAAATAGCTTCTGCCGCCACTCGTCAAGATTTGGAGGGTCGATGACCCATTTACTGCTGAGAAGACTACCATGAGGTCTCCAGCCTGGGGCTGTAGTGCCGTCAATAGGGATGTAACCACTTGGACCGACAAGTGATTCTCCTAGCCTCACTGCCGCCGCAGTTGGAATAGCGGGACCAGGCGTTAAAATGCCGAATGAGCCGTGTCGATCCGGCAGTGGCAGAGGCTGATGAGCGTGACCACGAGAGTGTTCGTGAGGGGATAGCGGTGGTTGCGTTGGTGCATAGGTGGTCTGCACGACGGGCCCGATAGGATGCTGCTGTTTGTCACGAGCGTGTTGTGTATCACTCATATCACCATGACAAAGAGGGTCGGAGGTCTCGATATCGGCCAAATCGATCGGGGGTCCGGACCGCAAGTGGGTTACGGGGGCGGCGAGTTGCGGAGCTGGTGGGAGTTGTTGCTGCACGATCACGTGCTGTTGCTGCTGCGCTTGCTGAGAGGGAATGGAATGGGGACCATGAGGAGAGGCCGCACTGCCTGGACGTAAGTCGAAAGGGCCCGCAGAATCAGGCATTGGTATTTGGATGTTGTGTTGCTGCTTTAAAGCGTCGTGCATTCCATATCGCTAATGGTAGTGTCACCAGGAGCAAAAGTGGATGGAGTGCTGTCGGACCTCAAGGTACATACCTTAGCCAACCAACTCAACCTGTCAGCAGCGGGGGTTGCAGCGGGGGTTGTGGCAGGGCAGCGGCTTGTGCACGGACCAAGACGAGAAATGGGCCACCAACCCCGGAACGTGCCGTCCACGTCCAGTATTGCGGCCTATCCGTAGCTGACATACACCTGAAAACCCTCAGTCACGTAAACATGCCAATTCTTCCTTCTAGCTGTTGGTATCGCATTGCCGTCATGAGAGTCGTGTGGTTTATTCCTAAGCCTCGCAGAATCCAAATTTACCCACCAAGTCGAACACCATGGCACTACCAGCGTAGCTCCATTCAGCCCTCAATTATACACATATCCAAAGCTGCGAAGCCGCCGGTCGTACAGGATATTATTCTTCACACGTTTCCGTTTCCTGTCTCGTAAAGCGTCCCTCGAGTCCAGTCCAAGCCCATGACAAGACACATTTTCCAGACCCCCGCCTTCAGTTTGAAGCATCCCACGACGAAAGATCCATTGCATCCATCGGCCCCATATTCATCAATGACCGCAACACCCCTTCGGCGACTGGCGTCATACCCGTCTGCCCTTGTAAGTCTCCCCATCCGCTGGACATTCCAAAATCTGCTCCAGGCGTCGCTGGCATGGAAAACCTCTGGTTTGGCGTCAAGCCTGTGCCCCTGATCCCAAAAGCGCTGGCATCGTTGAAAAAGTTCACATTTGCGTCTCCGTTGCCTTGTGAGTCGATGTTCTGGTGCCCAGCGACGGGGCTCGCGTCGAAAGAATTGCTGCCACCCGATGCAATGTTCATTCTTTGTTCCGAGGCCGAGCTAGAATTAGGTGTCGGTCTGTTCGACTGCTCCGCGTCGGGCGAGCCAGACATATTGTTGTCGCCGCTGCTTTCACTTTGCCCGAATCCAGTCATATGCCCGCTGCTCGACCCAGATTTGTCATATAGAGAACCCGAGCTGGGAGTCAGGACTGATCCACGTAACTGGACTCCGGGTCTGTTCCCCTCGTATGCTATGGGCGGTTCGGCCGACAGCCAGTTCTGACCTCCGAACCCGGTGGAGGCTGAGTTCGGACCGCCATCTGTGTCTAGCTCGGGCTCAACAATACTTGGTGCCGCCGCCGCGTTCCCATTGTCGCCCCCAACCTTCATGAAATGGCATTCGTTGCGGTAGGACATGATACCCTGCACCCCTTCAGGGTCGTCACATACCGGCCCACGGGTCCCGCCGTTTGCATTGGGCTGCAGCGTACTCATTAGCTAGCGAATTGGAGGAACGCACTTTCCATGTTAGAACTCACGCTATCGCCACTGCGCGGGAAAGCTGACTTCAGCTTCGGTATCCGCATCGCCAAGGCCTCCAGGTCAACATCAAGCTGCACAAGGAAAGATTCCGTGAGAGGGTTTCTTCTCTTGAGCGCGTTCATAGCAGATAAGAGAAACCTCAGTGAGTCGGCTGTTTGGCTGTCATCCGGCCGACTCTTGAGATATTGAACAAAGACTCTCGCAGCCACGTAGAGGCAGAATGAAATGAAAGGATTCATCTGGGTATATCAGCATGAGTTAGCCAAGATAGCGTGCTTCTCCATCCACGTACCGCGGAAAGGTCCATGTGCGAAATGGTCCTCATGATGCTCGCGATTTCGTTCGCTGCGGTGATGCACCGAACTTTGCTCTCGGCACTCACGGACGCCGGGAGGCGGTTCTTGTCGGCTTTGAAAATTGCTGCTTGATGAAGACAGATAGTAGACGTATGGATGCTCATGTTAGTAAAGACGATATTTGGGTTCCCGAGACCGGCGGGAAGTTTGAGATGTGTTGGCAGGCAAAGCGAAGTATTGAGCAAGATATTGTCCATAGTACGATGGCGCTTCCAGAATTCGCCGTTTAGATCGTGATCTCTGTCGTCCACGTCAGGCCGATGAAGGTGGATGAGGTTCCGACCGAAGAGGCATGCCATGAGCACAATACCACCGAAAGACGACAGCTTTCCGGCTCCAGACGGACTCATACATTCTTGTAGAGACTGAGTTTGCTCAGGCCGGCTCATGTCGAAGGCCTCCTCTGATGATGGTAGATTGGTCATAACGTCCTTTTCGTCAACAGTCATGGGCCATCCAGTTCCAATGCTGGCGTAGCGGTCCTCACAGAACGCCATCCAGAACGTACGCCGTCTCTCCTCACGTTCCGTCCAGTCTCGCGGTGGTGGGAGGCATTGCTTCACATCCAGGCCGGCGCCATCGAGCCTGTGCAGCCCAATCCTAACCCACATTTAGCCTCCGGGTGATAGCATAGTAAGACTCTACTCACATTTGGCAAAGACGAACGGCTGAGCCTGTGCTCATCCAGGCCCTTGGGAAGTACATCATCTTGAACTCATAGGAAGCCAAAAGCACATGTGTTTGTGCGTGGGCCACGGAAATCATGTGTTCGCCGTAGCCTTTGATGTAGTCTGCTTCGACATACTTGCGGGCTCTCTGGTAAAAAAGATCCTTGAGATCAATGTACTTCTCAGTGATTGAGCACGCCAAAGTCCATATGGCGTACCGCAGCGCAACTGGAGGTCGTTGGTTGGGCGCCCTAGAGAAGTCAGCGTCTTGGAGGGACATGTGAAGGATATTGGGGGTTTTCTACAGGTTCATGGCAGCTAGATATCTATATTTATGAATCATGGGAACCGAAGGGTGACACTTTTCAAAGTAGATTTGATGGCTGAAATCGGAGTGTTAGTCGGGGTGCAGCAAAACTCGAGCTTCTCGATAGGTGTGGCACTAACAGCTCGTCAATCGTTTCCTGCGGGGGAAGGGGCTCTTCTAAACCCAACCCAATCATTTCCCAGGTAAAGTTACTCCCAACGTTGTTCATTCCCATCGACATGTTGGAGTTGAAATTGAAGTCGTCCACGGGAGGAGCGGGCGCATTTTGGGTTTGGGGCGACTCGCCATGGAATCTCCAGCGTTCAGCATCGCGATCGGTGGGAACATTCAGGTTTGAGGACGCTACGTTGAAGTTCGAAGTCGGGGCAGCTTGCTGAGTGCGGCTAGATGTGGTGTCAAGGCCAAGGGGTATCGTCCTGGAGGGATCGGCGGGTGCGGCGGGGGGGTCTTGGGTCTTGAGAAGGGTTTCAACTTGCTCTTGAATAGGCGCAAAGAAACTTGGTCAGTTAAAGAAAGAGGGAGCAACGGAAACAGGCCGGAAGGCTTCGACCTATGGCGATGGTATCGCACAGACGGACTCACTCAGTCGTTCCTCCAGAGCCTTGACGTATCCCCGCTTTGGACCGCTTTTCCTACGAACTTCATCATAGGCGCAAGAATGACCCAACCTAGCACACGTGCTGCAACTCGGTCTAACACCGTCGCACTTCAACTTGCGTTTCCGACAAATCATACATGCTAGGCGCTTCGGTTTGGGAACATTGGTGTTGTCGGTCGCTGGATCCTTGCCGTTGGAATCGGCGCCTGGGCTCCCGCCCCTTGGACGTTTGTGGGAGTTGGCGCCGTTCGTGTCCGGAGGCGTGGGTGTACTCGAGGACATTGCGAATGCGGAAATAAAAACGATTAGGAGAAGGCGAAGTCGTAGTCGACTGCGGGTATGAAGTGCGGCGACGAGAATCCGGGGCAGGCGAAGATAGGTTATCTGATGGTGGTCGGAGGGGGAACCGCAGGCCTCGGGGGCGGCGGACAGGCAAGATAGTAAGACGGTCGCGGGCGCGAGGCACAACGGTTGCGCTGCGCTGCGCGGCTCAGCTTATGGGCAAGTGGTCGTCGCACGTGTTAGGCCACTTCATGCGGCGCGCAATGTCGAATGGGATGGAGATAGATAGGGGGGGGAGAGAGAGAAAGAGAGACAGAAAGTCGAGTCTGATTGAGGAGGGAAGCGGGAGAAGCATAGGGCGGATACATCAATCTCACGTTTGAGCTAACGCCAATGCCAAGTTGATGGAAGAAATGGTCACTGGCAGCTGTAAACTGGCACCGAAAGACTAAAAGCACAGAGAACTGGGGGTAGAGATGGGGACTTGGTCAGGCAGTGGAGGGCGATGAGAAGCGCAAGACAGGCGTAGCCTAGCCGCCATTCCAATTCGAGCTGGTCATGATTAATAACGACAGGGTACTTTGAGAGGCATCAGCATGGATGCCCCAGCGTCGGACTTACTGCGTACCTTACCTAAGGTACCTAGGTAAGTAGTATGTACACAGCCCGGTAATCGCAGCGCATTGTACCTAAACAGAATGCTAAAATCTCAACCATCTAGGGACCTACGACTGACTACCTTACCTTACGTTCCTCACCTCCACTACCTTAGTGTACGAGATACGCTCCTTAGCTACACATGACAGTACCTCCCGTCATCTCAAGATTCCATTACTTTCAACGCAACCCGTCTCGCCATCCTTGCTCACAGAAACCTCGGAAAAGAAAGCACATGCTAAGTAGGCAGCGGAAGAGTGCCTTCTCCTCCATCCGTAACGTTCAACACCTCCAGAGGTAGGTCTCTGGCCACAACTTATTTTAGCGACGTCATATCACGCTGAAGTAGGCAGGCAGCGGTGACTAAATAAGTATTAAAATAATATATACTGTGTATGTAGAAGCGTGATTGAGAACTGCTTGGTTTATAATTTCTATATCAACTTGACACTTTCACATCATTCCAATCACCACCGAACGAACCCTCGGATGGCAGGCAACGTTCAAACGCGCATCCGGACAACTACCCATACACTGGGCGGGGATGGTGTCCTTGCCGCAGTGGACTCTCATGGTACGTTCAAGCTCATACGTACTTGGCTGCGCATCCACACAGCCTCACCCGCCAATGACTGCAGAAACGGCAAGTATACTCACCCTCGGCTTCAATTTCGTCCGCGCTGACTCTTGCTACGCAAATACCCCATCTTGTCAGCCGAGTCGAAACTCTCAACATCGCCATCTCGCGTCCGTGGACGGTCGCTCTATGCTGACTTACCCGATCGCGACAATCTATTCACATCTGATTTGGGTTTCACCCTTACTCCCAGCTACCAACCCCTCGAGCCCTTGACATCCGGATTCACCACCACAGTTATTTCACTTCTTCTCGGCGTCTACACCGACGATGCGGAGAATCCCTAAATCGCTGTAAGCCAAGCAGTATCGAGTCGGAGCCCAGGACACGACTGGGCATGGCCCGGCTGTTTTGAGAGTATGCACTTGATCACCGGATTCGACATGCCTGATGTCTAGCCCGGATCCTATGGACATGATTAGCCTCCCCAACATCTAATTTAAGCTGGTGCCTAGGCCTACTCACCCTCGTCACTACCCCCGACCAAGAAGTTGCCGTCAAATGTGAAGCCTTTGTGGCAATTAGAACCGCGCACAGGATTCCACTATCCACAATCGTGAACTTACTGATAGACCGCACAGGGCCCACCATGCTTGTGATGGTTCGTTGGCAGATCCAGTCTGCTGTATCCCAGAGAGATATGATGGAGTCGGAACCACCTGTGGCAAGATACCGCCCTGTGGCCTGCATCTCAGCTGAAAGACACGAAGATGTATGACCACTGAGTGTAAACTCTTGAGGCTCGGTCCCGTAGTCGAGCTGGAACGCAGGCTGGAAGTCCGGATATGTAAGGATGCGGGTTTTTCCCTCTCCGGTTGTGAGAAAGATCTTCTTGCCGCTCCAGCAGAAGGCAATTTGGTTGGTCTGGCCAGGCTGCTGATGAGATGCGACGGGCGTGGATTGAGTTGGTGACAGAACGAAGATATTGTCCGTCTGCCTGGGGTGAGTATGGCTCCCTTGAAAAGAAGAAGAAGAGAACCATGGGTTACCGAACCTTGTTACCAACAACTAGAGATTCGCCATCAGGTGCCCACGCAAGGGTGAACGCATCCCCCAGGCCCTTGATCTCGTTGATGCAGGTTTTTGATCGAACATCCCAGAACTTTACAACACCATCATTGCTAACACTGCATAATTCGGCGTCCTTAACCGGATTGAAAGCGACTTTCTCAATTGGGGCCGAGTGGCCCTTCAAGTCGGTAGAGAAGCGTACGTTTGGCTTCTCAGGATTCCCTAGTCAAGTTGGACACGTCAGCTTTCGTACTTCAGCAATCGTGCCAAAAGTACTTACAGACGCGCAGGGTTTTGTCTGATGATCCAGTCGCGATCAACGTGCCCAGAGGACTCCACGCAATGGATCGCAAGCTAGAGCAACGAGTGATTTAGCAGGCATGTCCGAAGCCCAGAGGATTGCACCGTAGCTCTCAGACTTACCTGTGTCCTCTCGAGCTTGAGCCTGGGTCATGGTAGGGCTGACTCTTCAGTCCTGCCAGATAGGTAGGCATCCTCTCTTTTGAGAGACTTGGTCGTGTGCGAGGAGGTGCCATTGTATGCTGCGCAAATCAAGGTTGACGAAATGAGCGATGCACGAAACTTGAACATGTCTGGTTAGTGAGCACTCGGCGTAGGATGATTGTAATGGGCCTCTCTCATCACTCACACGCTAGTCTTGTCGTAGATGCGATCCAAGACGAAATTTTGAATTCGCCAAAATATTTTACGGGGTGCTTCTGCCTTGTTTTGCCGCAACCTCACGCGTTGCACCTGGGGACATAGTGTAGTTGAGGCGCTGTCGACAGCAAGGTGTGGTTGCGAAGTCAGTCGACCCTGCCGCTCCTTTCACGATTACCTAATATGGAAACCTTCACACGGTGAGGAGGGTACCTGATGGAGTAGTGCACTGTGGGTCAACCACACTCATTTGCGTTTGCCTTACCTAAAACCCCTATTAGTACGCGATTTATTACCCCTCTACGCTACTTTTTACTATTAACAATAATACTATTAATATTAATTAATATACTTTTTAATATAATTTAAGCTTTTTAATACTATTTAGAGCATAATATAAGTATAATATTATAATACTAAAGTAAGATAATAATAATATAATCTCTATATAACTAATATAGTTATTAAAGTTAGTAGTATTATATAAAAGTAAGAATATCTCCTTAAAACTAAGATTTCTACTAATAAAACTAATAATATAAAAATCCTTTTTATTTATTTTAATTTTTTAAAAAGAAAATTATAAAAAAGAGCTTATATTATATTAATTTTAATCTAACCTAAAATATATTATTTTTAATAAAATAGCTATAATAAGAAACTTCTAACTAACTATAAAAAAGATAGTAAAATCTTCTATTAGCTTTAAGAGAAATAAAGCTAGCTTAATTAATAAGGAGTATAATAGTAATTAGAACTCTTAAAATAAAGTAAATATAAAAAAAAGAGGGTTTTATATTAATAATAATATATATAAAACTATAATTAAAATTATTACTTAATAGCTTTAGTTATAAATAAACTTTATAGATAAATAATATAACTTATTAATATTAAAAGTAATAAATAATAATATTAATAAGGTTAAAGAGATATAATAGCTAGAAGTTAATAATATTAATATTATTATTAAAGCTACTACTAAAGCTATTATTAAGATTATTATAAAGCTATTAATTAATCTTATTACTAAAGAAAATAACCTATTTAATAAGTATTTATTACTACCTCTATTATAACTATTATTATTATTACTACTTCTTATAAAACTTTAAGTTTATATAGAGATTAAGATTTCTAAGAATAATATTAAGATATAACTAAATATTAAGGTTAAGGAGATTAAATAAGAGAATATAGATAACTAAACTAAGTATATTATCTATAATATAATTAAAAACTTCTATTATAAATATACTTTATAATATTATAATTACTCTTTTATATTTAACTCTACTTAAGTTATTTTTCTCTTTAATATAAATTATTAAATTATATTCTCTAAAGAGATATTTTATATTAACTACTAAAAACTTAATAATTAGGACTTATAGCTATTTAAGTATTAAGGATAGATTAGTAATATTATTAAGAATAATAAAAAGAAGAATAAGTTATTATAGGTTAAGATTATTACTTTTATTATATTAAAACTACTTAACTAATATATATTAATCTCTATAAGCTATTATTATAAATTTTAGTAGTTATCTCTAATATTATTTAGTATAAGTTTTATTTAAATAACCCCTTTAGTTAGAGTAATACTATTTTAAAACTTTATTAAAATACTTTTATAACTTAGTATAACTTTATAAACTTTATATTAAAATAATAACTTTATTAAGCTTATTCTTATTAAGCTTAGTAATACTAATAAACTGTTATATTAATAGAAATAATAGAGTAACTTATTATTAATTAATAAGTTAAAGTAGAAAAAGATTTAAGATATATACTAAGTAATCTAAACCCTCTATAGATATAAGTTAGGAGTTAAGTATTTTAATAATTATAATAATATTACTAATAACTACTATATTACTTATCTTTTTACTTTATTAAGCTTACTTATTTATCTTTAGATCTATAAATAATATATTATAGTTTAAGTAAAAGCTATAATTAATAGAGAAATAATTATTAATAAGCTTCTAGAGAATATTATTATTAATATAACTTTATACTATAATAACTATTTCTATAAGAATAAATCTAAGTTATAGAGTGAGGTTATACTAAGAGTAAATAATAATAGAAATAGTAGAAATAATATTAATAAACTTAATCTACTCTCTTCTAGCTTCTATATTATAAACTAAGTTAATATACTATTACTATTACTATTCTATAACTTTATACTACTAATTTATCCTTATTATAACTATTATACTCCTACTTAGTTATTATTACTAATATTACTACTAATAAAACTACTATTAATACTACTATATATTAAGAAGTAGGATTTACTAATTTTATCCTCTTCTTTACTTATCCTTTAGATTAAACTTATATTATAACTTCTCTATAAATATCTAAAATATTTATAAAGAATAAAAGGAATTAGGGATACTAAATAAGATATTAATCTCTTTACTACTCTTAATACTATTCTATAGGTTTATTTCTAACTTAAATCCTTTTAAAAAACACTAATTAATTAGTTTAATAAGAATAATATCCCTATAGGTATTATAGAGATAATTAGAAGTAAAATTAAATAATTCCTAGTTAAGTAAAATATTATAGATTTAATAACTAACTATAGTTTATATTTACCCCTTTATAATATTAAAAGCTAATAGATTTTTAAATAGATAATATAATACTTCTAAATAATATAATACTTCTAGCTAATACTATTAAATAAAACCTTAGGCTGCTAGCCTTATATTGTGAAATTTAACTAGTATTAACTGCAAAAGCTAGACTAGTCCCCTCGCCCTCTACTAATAACCTTTAGGTTACATGACTACTTAGATATTATCTTTGCCTCTACGCTCCTCTATCAGACTTCAACTATTACAATAAACCAAGTTAACTATCTTCCTCTAGCTACCTCTATCTCCACTCCTCTGAGCTGCACCCACCCTTCACGCTATATTCGATCCACGCCTATCTTCTATTATCTCCTCTACTATTTAGACGTCTACGTTATAATAGATAACGTTTTCCGCCCTACTATATAGTCTTAATATAAGAAGAGCTCTACTACTATTAGCTATACTCTCGCTATTAAATTCACTTTTCCTAACTTATTAAGCCCTTAAGTTACTTTAGCTATTTTAAGGAAATCTATAAAGTAGTTATAAGTATTAGAATTATTATTAGTAGTTTTAACTATTTCTATATTAATTTTAAAGCTATATAACTTTAATATCTCACGCTTATTAGCTATCTTAAGTAAGTACTTCTAAGTAAATTTAAGTAAAGTCTTTTTATTAGTATAAATAAAGTTACTATACTTAGAGCTTTTAATTTTATTAACTTTAGTCTTATAAATTAAGTTATTTAGTATAGCTTTACTTAGTTTATATATAGTTATAATAAGGGGGAAAGATATTATATAAGGTTATTATATATATAGGAGGATATAAGGAATAAGCTTAAAACCTTATTTAAAATAGTAGTTAAGTTTTTATATTATAGCTATAAGAACCTTTTTAGCTATATAAAGAGTTATACTATTAAGTTTATACCTTTAAGTATAGGTTTAAGCTATTACTAAGCTTTAGCTATATTATAGAATAACGCCTTCATAATATTGCAAATAACATGCTTATAAATAATAGTATTGTAAATAACGCTCTTATTAGTATGTTTTATTGCTCTACTGCTTACCTACCTATGCTCTTTTACTAGGGATATATTAAGCTAAGCGTTAATAACTAGTTATACTAAGATTTATTTATTTACTTTATTAAGATTAAGTATAAGTTAAAGTGCTACTATTAGGTTTTAGTATTATGAAAAAAAGTATAGAGTGAACTATAATACCTACTTATATAGGTTAACTAGACTGCTAATATTAAATAAAACCTTCTAATTAAAGTAACTAATAATATTTACTCTCTTATTACTTCTTTTACTTAATTATTTAATAATAATAATAATAATAAGTTTTAATAGGTAGAGAGGGTTTTTTTCCTATTTCTTTATATAAATATAAAGATTTTAACCTTAATAACTAATAGTAATTTATTTAATAAATAGGATATACCTCTAACGCTATAGCTAAAGAGAAATATATTATAATTAAGGTGTTATAAAGCTAACTAACTATTAAGATTAAATTATTTTATTTTATATTAATATTATATTCTTTTAAGTAAGAAAGCTTTTAATAGTATTAAAGTTAAATATAACTATAGCTATAAACTTAACTTTATAGTAAGTTCTCCTCTCTATTAATATCTTTATCTTTTTTAATATAAATACTATAATAATAAAAATAATATAAGATAGTATTAATATTTTAAGCTATTTTAAAAGTATAATTATAAAGAAAGTTTATAAAAAAGGTATTTATTACCTTAATCTATTTATACTTTATATACTACTTCTATAAGTAGTTTTTAAGGTTACTAAAAAACACCTTAATAAGGTTAAAATCTAATAAGTATATAAGTAAATACTATAACTTAACGTTATATTATTAGAGCTATGATAAGTACTACGTAGTAGTACTATAACTATGTAGTATACTATATACTATATGTAGTGTAGTGTAGTTGTAGTACTGAAATTATATTTGTAGTATACTACAGCTCCACTTTTTGTAGTATGTAGTATACTATAGCCCCACTTTTAAATCTGTAGTACTGTAGTATAATACTATATACTACACTTAAAAAACTAGTTATTTAATTCTAATTTATTAACTAATAATTATTTATAATAGGTTTTTAGTTATATAGTTAAATAACTAATAATTAATAATTATAATATTAATTATAATAGTACTAGTTATAATATATTATTAATAATAATTAATATATATATATTATTATTTTATAAATTAACTAATAAAGATATCTTAATAAGTTTATATTATTAAATTATATATAACTTATAATAAGCACTTCATAAAAACCTATAAATAATACTATTAATATAGAATATTATATATAATATTATAGCTAAAATGTAGTATAATTTGTAGTATATAGTATACTACATACTACAACTACAGTAGTATGTAGTGTAGTTGTAGTATTAGATTTTTCGTTGTAGTATACTACATACTACAACTACATGTAGTATGTAGTACTGTAGTACTGTAGTAGTTAATGCTTTATATATTATTAATAAGTATCCTCTAACTATTCTAGTTATATTACGCTATATTATCTATAACTAAGACTAATTTTAAACTAAGAAACTTCCTTATTTTTAGTAGTATAAAGTTCTTAATCTAAAATAAAAAGCTATTAGTATCTATATATCTAAAATAAATAATATAATTAAAAAAACTATTAATAATAAGGATTAATAAAATATAATACTATATACCTCTTTTTATAATACTCTATTTTAATAGCTTTATATCTTTTAGTACTTAGCTTATATATTTAACACTACTTTAATAATTAATACTACTCTTATTAATAAAAATAAATAAATTAATAATATAGTTATAAATTAATATAATATATACTTCTTATATAGCTTAGTTTTATTACTAAGTAATATATTAAATCTTCTTCTTCTTCTACTATATCTTTTTAAAGTAATAAGAGATTACTAATATAAATATAAATAAATTAAACTCTTCTATAAAAAAACCTTAAACTTTATTAAAGTAATAATTAGTTTTATTATATAAAAACTTAAAAATTACTTCTTTATAGATTAATATTATCTTATAATACTTAAAACCTATTAATTAATATAGTTTTAATATATCTTTAGATACCTCTTATTATTAATAATAAATTTAAACTATTAAAATATTATACTTAATAAGTTTTATAATTAACTTATTATTAAAGTAAAGTATAAATAATAACTCCTTTAGCTAAGCTTATTACTTACTACTTAATAACTTTAGTATTATTTACTCTATAATATTAATATAATTTTAATTAAATATAACACTAATAAAGAGGATAAATAGTAAGAAGGCTATATTATATATATTTTATATTACTAAATAGGTTTAGTAATAAGATCTCTAGCGTTAATATATTAGAAGTACCTTACTATTAGAAAATAAAATATAATCCTATAAGTATTATATAATAAAAAGAGTCTTATTAATAATATTAATAGTTAATTTATACTTAGATTTTATAATAATATATATTAATTTACTAATAATACTAGCTAAATAGATAATAATAATATTATAAACCCTAAATTAATATATTTAGTAATAGTTTTAGCCCCCTATAGCGCCCTAATATATATACTTAAGAGGAGTTAACTTTATAAAGATAAAAAGAAAAATAGAATATAAATTCTAGTAAAAAAAAGCTTTTTTAAAGCTATTAATAATTAATTTATATAATAATTTATATTAATTAATGCGTTTTTAGTGTTAGCACGTATAAATAGGTAAAAGTAGCGTAGAGGGGTAATAAATCGCGCACTGATAGGGGTTTTGGGTAAGGCAAACGCAAATGAGTGCAGGTGGGAGCTCCAGAGTTTCGGCAGCCCCTAACGTTGGCGGCGACCTTGCAAGCTCCGTCGGCTCCCAAAACCACCTACCATGACACTTGACGGCCGCCAACCTCACCGTATTCCCGACACCATCTTCTCCCGTCCCTCCCTGTTTCTCGCTCGCGCTGCACAGCACATGGTAGGACTTCAATGTCGCATAAGCCCCTGTCAGAAAATGAGGCTTCTTGATTGAATCTAGCAGCGGCCATGATCAGAGCAGTGTCTGTCTGGAGTGCGAAAAAGGAAACCTGTACCCCGGCCCGGCGAGCCTCCGCGTACCCATTCGCTCCCGACGACATACTGCCATTGCAACGGCAACGCTGCAGCGAACACAGGAACTATCGACTGAGGACCTCGTCGAAATGTATTGGCCCATAGGGACCCCCAGAATTTTCGCCACGAGCAGCAGGTCTGGTCCTGCGTTCAACCTAGTTGTCTCCCACGATGGCCTACCCAGCCCCTTCGACAGCCGGTCGCGAAGCGATTCCTCTCCATCGTCGAACCTGAATACTCGATCGACACCGCAACATGACGATGTTGAGCTTGCCACCCCGCTGACACCAATGACACCCGCCATCCAATCAGTTGATGACGACGCCCATGACCCAAACAATTGGCATTCATCGCCACGCCTCAGCAACAACATTCCTCTGAAAGACCCTGTTCTTGCTCTGCGCATCTCTCGTGGTGGTCAGCTATTCGCTGTGATAACCTCGACGTCCATGACAATATGGCAAGCCAAGGTTCGTCTGCCTGCCCTTTAGTGGCTTCTTCCAGCGACACCTCTTCGTTTGGCGAGCCATGCTGACACACCCAAGCCTACAGTGATACTTGCCGTCGTCGTCCGCTCTGAAACTTCTCTTTCGACATACGGTGAGAACGTGGATCTACTGTTGCGACCCGACTCAGCCATTCTTGTCGTTCGGACGACCTTGGGCTACCTCATCACATACTCCCTTGCAACAGACTCCGAGGCTCAGGTTTACAAGCCTTATTTTCCGAGCTATGCAAATGTTCAGCGACGTCGCCAAAATCACCATGGGGGCCCCGGAAGCGCGGCGCCAGATCAAATTCTGTGGGGTCCCGGTGAGGGTCAAGGGGTTCGCGACGTAAGTGTCCGCTTTAGGATGGTCATCAAAGTCGACGCCGGCATTGAAAGCGCACTGGCTTTGGACGACGAGCTAGTTGTGGCCACACGAAAGCCCGCAGCTATCCAATGCATCCGGTGGACTCCAGACCACAGTGGCAGCCAGACAAAGACGGAAATAATAAGTCGAATGGGATGGTTAGAGAAGAAGATTACGATTTTGGAAATGACCCACGACCGACCCATGAACCTCTCGACTTGGATTACGAGCGACGGCAAGGTTTATGCAGTGCAGCGGTTGAACTCAAAGGAGCTATCTGAGCCAGAATCTCAGGAAGCCGACCCAAAAAAGTTATTCAAGGGCTACTGCTTTCATACGCCACATGGACCTGCGGAATTCGCCAAACGAGCAGTCGTCAACGCCAGGTTTTCTTTGATTGCTGTTGGATGCGCCGACGGTGGTATACGTGTCTATTCTGCCCGAGATTATGCTGGCAACATACCACCGTCCCACGCCCATACCTTGCCTGTGTCGTCGACAGTGTGCGGCTCACTGACCACTTTGAGCTACTCTCCCGATGGCTACTGCTTATTTGCCGGTTTTGAGAGCGGGTGGGCTACCTGGAGTGTCTACGGGAAACCGGGCAGTCACAGCTTTGGCACGCACGAAGCCGTAGTTGAGTTCAACGGGGAAGACTGGATTGCTGGCGTGGGCGATGCCGTTTGGCTCGGTAGTGGCACCGAGCTTCTGATCACTAATCGTCGCCATGAAGCAATCTGGGTACTAGAAATGGCCAGGAGTGCCGTTGTCAGTTGTTACAACGCGGCCAACCTCCTACGCACAGTACTTCAGACCAACACGAACGTTATGATCTACCGCGGATACGATTTGCCAGATCTCGCGAGCATTTCGGCCGAGCCGCATCTGTGGCACACGACCAAAGTGCCTCCGTCATATTTGCTTCAGCAATGGCCCATTCGCCATACAGTCATTTCACCAGATGGTCGGTACGTGGCGGTAGCTGGACGGCGCGGCCTGGCCCATTACAGCGTCAACAGTGGTCGTTGGAAGACATTCGTCAATGAGGCCATGGAAAATGAGTTCCAAGTCAGGGGCAGCATGTGCTGGTACCAACATATACTGGTGGCTGCAATCGAGGCGAACAAGTCCCACGAGCTCCGCCTCTATTCGAGAGAAACAGCTCTAGACAGTTCACTTGTGTTGCATACCCAGCAGTTGCCAGCTCCCGTAGTTCTGGTGGCCTCCTCGGGGGAAGATTCGCTTCTCGTCTACACATACGAGAACTTACTATACCACTTCATCTTTGCGCCTTCGGGCGGCGGTTCCATAAGACTGGTGCAGCTAGGACAGATCGCATTTCATGGGATTGTGCGGTCACCTGCCAGAGTACGCGGTCTCAGCTGGATCTTGCCAGATAGTCAACTTATTGATGGAGACCCGTCGCAAGATGTTGCAGTGGCGTCGGTTCTGTTTTTAGTTGATGCTAAGCTGGTTTTGCTACAGCCATCGTTAAATCACGAAGGGCATCTCAAATACGACATGAAGGTCATTGCTCAAAACGTGGAGTTCCACGTGAGCATGAGAGACCAGCCTCACTTCGACACCACTGTCATGCGCTCCGAAGAGCTTGCGTCTGCGGGCAGTGACTTGTCTTTGCGCAACTCCCTCTGGGTGTTCGATGGCCAAGAGTTCAAGCTCTGGCCTGATGTGCAAGAGGTGCTCCGGGCAGCATCGAGCGAGGCGTCTCGAGAGTTGCCGAAAACAATCTCAGTTCCGTTAGACTTTTACCCTCTTTCGACTCTACTTGGGAAAGGCATCGTCCTTGGCGTTGAAGCCGATCTTGTGCAACGAAGGGATATCAGCTTCTCCTTCTTCCGCTTTACCATCAGGGTTTGTCCGCCCATAATCCAAAAAAAAAAAAAAAAAAAAAAAAAAAAAAAAAAGCGTACGCTGATGATTTGAATAGACACACCTCTTCTTACCGGACATTCTGCGTTTCCTGTTGGCTGAGAACCATGCTGTAGACGCAGTCAAGTTATCGGAGCAGTATCAAAACCTGGAGTATTTTGCACACGCTTTAGAGGTCTTGCTCCATAAAGTCCTAGATGACGAGGTAGATTCTGGACCAACCCCAGAAGAAGCGATCCTCCCGCGTGTGCTATCATTGCTATCGTCATTCAAGCAGTATCTTGATATCGTTGTGCAGTGCACGAGGAAAACTGAGGTTAGGCAATGGCGGACGCTATTCGCGTATCTCCCCCCAGTCCAAGAGCTTTTTGAGGAGTCGCTTCAACGAGGATCTCTCAAAACCGCCGGAGGCTATCTGATCATTCTACACACTCTGGATGATCTTGGCTCTGCCTCGGAGCAAACAGTCCGGCTGTTGTCGAGAGCGATGAAGGAGGGCGATTGGGAATTGTGTAAAGAGTTGGCACGCTTTCTGGCGGCCATGGACGAAACAGGTGACTCTCTACGTGAGGCGATGGAGGGTGTCAACATAACCGTAAGGAACGACCAGAATTCATCTGGGATGATGACGAGGCTGGGTGTTCCGGTTCCTGGTAATAGAGCCATGAACGGCTTAGGGCTCAAGTATGCAGAGCAGAGTGATGATATGGAGTCGGAAGGCCAATCGGTTAGCGATGCTGCGAGTTTTAGCTCCGACGGGCGTTGAAATATTAACGCCAAATACATGAGAATCCGGCCTGGGCTCGCATGCTCGCTGCCAAATATCAAGATGATTCTCCTATCGTGCGCAAAGTTGAATTCGCAGTTGTTTTCCAACAGTGTATCCAAGCCATCGTCAAGTTGCCCATATCCTACGCATTAAGTAGTCGAAGGAAGACAGCCGCAGGTACGTACCGATGGCAACCCCCGCCCCCTCCCTGACCGCACCGAAAGCCCCGCTAATCGCGTTGCCCTGCAGATGGGAACATGGAACACACCTCAGAGAACCGGCGTCAATCAACGCCCGACGAAAGACCTTTGCTGTCGACCAACCATTTCCACTTCAACACCCACCACCGAACCAACTGCCAGTCCACAGATAGATACGGCGACTAGTCACTGCAACATCTCAGCCTGGCCATGCTCTGAAAGCTTGTCACGCACAAAGCGCACCTTCTTCAGTATGATGGACGACTTTGGCAGCGAGTCAGATAGCGACTATACGAGCTATTGGCGCGATTGGGTAAGTGACCTCACCTGCGATTCTCCTTCCTCGTCAAAAAACGGACGGCGTCAGAATTTCGTTCTGTTGGATCGAAGGGCTGGATGAGGTGGTCATGGACTGCAACATACTTGGGCGCACGCGCGCGACTTGGATGGCCGCACGATCAACGTCATCCATCGTCGCAATACCAGCGCAGCCACCATTCGCAAGAGCACGTCTGCTAACTGCTAGCTTTCGAATAGTTCATATCTTCTCGCGGAAATGAGTACTTCTGCGAAATCGACGAGGACTACCTTACAGACCGCTTCAACCTGACGGGACTGAACACGGAAGTTCAATACTATCAATATGCGCTCGATCTCATTACCGATGTCTTCGATCTCGACTGCGATGACGAAATGAGAGAGACAATCGAGAAGTCGGCCCGTCACTTGTATGGCCTCGTCCATGCCCGGTTCATCGTCACAACGAGGGGTCTTGCTAAGATGGTATGCTTGCCTACTCTAACGGACCTGTTCAGCGAGGACAGCTCCTTGGCCGCCTGGACGACATCGCTGACGTGAGAAAAATATGAAGCTCGAGAAGTACAAGAAGGCGGACTTTGGCAAATGTCCACGCGTCATGTGCCACTCCCACCCGCTCCTGCCCATGGGTCTCTCCGACGTCCCAAACCTGAAGCCGGTCAAGCTCTACTGTGCCCGCTGCGAAGACATCTACAACCCCAAATCGTCGCGTCATGCGGCCATTGACGGTGCATACTTTGGCACCTCCTTCCACAATATCATCTTTCAGGCCTACCCAGCCCTGATCCCCACCAAGAGTGTCGAGCGTTACGTCCCCCGAGTGTACGGCTTCAAAGTTCACGCCTCGGCTGCGCTGATTCGATGGCAACACCAGAAGAAGGACGAGATGCGCCGTCGCCTGCGGAAGATGGAGGTGGATAGCGGGTTCCGCGACGATGATGTTCTGGATGACGATGATGATGTCGAATTTGAGGGTGTCGATAACCGTGCAGTGGGTGGCAACGACGGTGTTACCGTAGCTTGAAATGACGAGCCAGTGATCACGTCAAGGGGCTGACGGTGCCTTTCCAGCGTACGTGACGGTCGAGGGGCTCGTGGATGAGCCACTGGCGACCAAGCACTAGGCGGGCTCTACTCACATAAGGCCCTTACGTGTTTCTCTCGCGTCGATAGATTTGGTCCATGGGATAATGACATAACGGTATTTTCAAGCTTTATTTTACTGCCTGTCTTCGTGGCCGGATCAGGTGAGGCAGTAGCGCAGTCGCTTCTCGGATTGGCATCTCCACGCAACGCAGGAAGAGTACCTCTAGTGTCTAGAGGATCGGCATGCCTCATGGAGAAGAGCACAACCTTACGTGTGTTGCAAGTGCATGGCTTCGCAGAGAGTAGGGGAGCGTCGTGCGCTTGCCGATGCACAGGCAGTCAACGTTATCACATGCGGCATGCAGTAGGCGATACTTCCAAAGGTAGGTATTCTTTTCATTCACGAGTCTATTCCATAACCGGTCGTATCTGTGCCACACCGGGCCCTCAAAAAAGAAAAAAAGAAAAAAGACCAATACCGCCGCCGAGCTCATGTAGGCGGGTGGTATACCGTGTAACTCCAATTATGCCCAATATGCCGGGCGGAAAGCGCAATGGATCCCGCGTGCCCGCCTTTTCACCCATGAGAAAATAATTTCAATCAGAACCTGTTTTCAGGGCCAGAGCCATCATTTGATGCAGGCTTGCCAACGTATTGCGTGGATGTCGCCTGGCCAACAGGTCGCGACATGTATGCCTCCTCCTCATCGCCCGACCGAATGAAGTCGCCTTTCTCTGTCGCATAGCTGTAGGAGCCAACCCCGGACCACCACGCCTTGTCATGGCTGCGAGGACCCCAAGCCCATCCGGCACCCTGGCGGATGGGAAGATGATAGTAGCGAAAAGCGAAGATAGAAGTGAAGACGCCAATGAGGTAGCCAAACAAGATGTCGAAGCCATGATGCCGGAAGTCGAACCAGCGAGACCCTGCGATGAAAATGGATCCGAACCAAGGGAGGACGACAATCGTCAAGAGGTAGATAGGGGGCGCGGCAGCCTGGCGGCGGACAGCTGTTACGATTTTGTTGTGCTCGGCAAGGTTTCTGGCGACAGCTGACGTGTCAGGGTTGAGAGAGCCTCCCTCGCCCGATCGCACTTCCTCGTAATCAGAGCTCGATTTCTGGAGGCGAGAAGGAAAAGCCGAGTGTGACGAAGCGTCGTTGTTGGTAGCAACAAATGGCAAGGTGACGGCAAATTTACTGGCGAGAAAGAGCGATAGGTAAATCAAACCAGCGGCGGCAGAGCTAGAGTGACCGGAGGGGTAGCTTCGGAAGCCGTCGTCGAGTGTGTGCTTGTCGGTATTCGTGCAGATGTCTGCGGATACGAGCTGTCCAAAGCCAGCTGCGCCAGTAAGGCCGGTGATGCTGGCATTGGTACCGCCAACAACGTACTTGGCGAAGTTTTCCAGATCAGGCCGACAGCGGGAAAGCAGATCGGGTCGAGGCTTTCCGAACATGTTCTTCATGCCATTCGTGATGAACCAAGCACCGCACATAGCCAACGCGAGCCCGAGCCAGCCGACGTGTAACTCCCACAACTTGCGCTTCCAGATGAGGGCGTTTGGGGTGCCCTTAGGAATCGTATTTCCGGGAACAAGAACGAGGCAGACGATGGCGATGATGATGATGGGGACGAGAACGGCGCAGATGGCGGCGAGCCACATTGGGACGGTTTCGTGCTCGGTGAAGGGAAAGCTTGTGGGCAGGTCAGTACAAGCGGAAGTAGAGAAGACGAGGCCAAGTATTCTTACGAGATGTTGGGGTCGAGGACTGAGAAGGGGCGTTTGTTTGGAGTCACGATTCCCAATACACCGCCAATGCCAGCAACGACGAGCAAGACGAACCAATCGAACACATAGGAGCCGATCAAGGAGGGAGTCCAATGGGAACGGGGGGAACGCAGTGAGCGCCTCTCATACGGTGTGGGTGACTCGGGCATCTTGTAGTATGACGGCCTCGACGAGGGCGAGAGGTTTGCGAGGGGAATGGAAGTGGACATGAGGGGATGAAGAGTAGAAGTAGTGAAGGAAAGTCGAGGAGGTCATCCGAATGGGGGTCCAAGCTACTTCAGGTGAACCCGGAGGGAGTTAGGGAAGGTACCTGAGGCCCTCTTTAGTCTAGGTCTCTTTGGTACGAATAAGGGAAAGATGAAAGAGAGTTTAAGTGCTGGGTATGGGAGTGGGATGGGAATGGGGAAGGGATCCGCACAAGCGCAAACGAGATGTTTGGGTGGACAAGGCGTGCAGCTTGAGGGCGGCAAGGCGGGCGCGGATGTGGATGCGGATGCGGCTGCGGTGCAGGCGAGCTGAAAAGGTTGGGATGGCTGGTGGCGGAGGACCACAGCGCCGGGGGAAGGACTCAAGCAGGAGGAAGGAGGAGTGCAAGTTAAGACGCGAAGAGGAACCCTTTGCTGCGCGCCCAGAGAAAGCGAGACACGCTTGATGACGGGCAATGGTCGAGAGACCTGGAGGAGAAACCTCAGTGGAACTTTGTGCCTAGGATGCTGTTCGGCACGGGTCCAGCAAGGATGCAATGGGCGGGCAGGGCAGGGCAGGGGATATGTTTCGTGTTACAGAGTGTTGGCCCCTCTGTTGTGTGATATGGAAGAGACAAGAAGGCAAGCGGAACTCGCCCAGAGATGCGATACTATGTAGCACACAATCCAAAAAGGGATGTGCAAGAATGACGGGAGACAGAGAACCTAAGGTAGGAGGTCGGAGACTCGGAGTGCGACCACCCTTAAACAATCGGCGGCACGCACGATGCGCGACGGACGTAGTAAGCAGTCGCGTGGCAGTGCCGGCCATCTCCTTGAGGCCTGAGACATGGTCTTTTTCCAAGCCACCACAGCTACTTCAACGTCGCCTACGTAGGTAGTGGTAGTATAAGTACCTGGCTAAGTGGCGCGAAAGCTGGTATCTGGTTTGCTAGGAGGGCTCTGGAGGGCCCTCTAAAGACCGCATCCGGACAGATCACAGGCTTCGTAAGCCTTTAATACTTCCCTACTGGCCCTCTGCTGGTGGCTTTGTATTATGGGTATCGAGGGCAGGCTTCTATTGGCTGCCCTGGCCGTTATGGAAAAAGACCATGTCTCAGGCCTCAAGGAGATGTACCTCAAGGTAGCTTCAGACACCTCCAGCCTCCAGGTCGCCAGGTCGCCAGCAGGGCTCATCCGTACATCCGCGCCTTCGCGCCCTCGAGCAACGTCGCCAATCCTTTTTATCTTTAGAAAATCTGACAAGGTGCTGCCTTCTTTCCAACCCTTCGACTGCTGCGGCACGGCGTGTCAAACAGACAGCCCAGCCCAGCCTTACCGTGGAGAAGGGCGCTCGCTGTAAGGCAAGCCCAAGTTCATCCGTACATTGGATGTATGCGCTTACCAAACTTTCCAGTG